AACCCAGGACGCGGATAAACTTTAAAAAATGCGTGATAATACTTCGAATTTCGAATAGAACTCTTTATGGCTAACATATACTCCCGTTCAAGTGTTACACAAGTATTTTATCTCTTTATATATAATTTACTAACTGACTACATTTTACCCTGATTTTAAAACTTTTTTGTTTTGTTTTGTTGGGTGTGCAATTATTTGATGCCCAAAATAAAAACCTGCCTACGCATTCTGCCAGTGAGTAGTTGCAAATGATTTATTTCAGTAGGATTCCAAGACTTATCTTGTACTTATGTATTCATTCATGACGCTTGAGTTTTCTTTTTTGCGTCTGAGTAAAACCGGATTTTTGAAACGAATGCCGGCAGGCCTTCACCCTGACAGGATCGGCATAGCGTATTTTTCTTACCTTTGTGCAGTTTATTGAAGATATCAAGAATGCAGTTTCTTTGTAGCTGTTAGCAGTGTCTGTGCTTTTACAATCCTTCCGACTATCTGATCTGTCATTCATTCACGCAACACGTTCGGGAGGTCACTTACTCTTGCCTTCTTCACCTTTTATTTAAATATCTTCCTAAGGCAAGAACGAAGTACAATTTCAATCCCTTTCAAGGGGTGCATTTTTCTTTAGTAAGACTAGCGATTCTTCTAGGGCCGTAGATATCAATTACATTGGTCGATAAAGAAGACCTAGGTTATAGAGCATAAAACTTCTTCGAGAACTAGTTTACCATTTCTTCTAACCGTCAGCGTTTTCTTCAAAATGCATTTCATGAAAACTTGCAAAGAGAGAATTTGGAATCTTCAGAACCGAACACAACGTTGCATCATCTGTAGCAATCTTTTAACTAAGAAAGTCAATTTTTTCATTTTTTGCATCGCAGTGATTAAAAAAGGTTTTTTGCATGTTGTTGTATCGTCGAGTTGAATGATACACAGAGAAGAATGAGTGCTTAATATATTTATTCAGCACCACTATCTGGTGCTAACGGATACATGCAAAAACACAGAACAATAAGTTACAAAACAATTAACAAGACAACTTACAAGGAATAGAGGAGGGTCAAAATGCTGTATAACTAAACGAAGTAAGATCAGTCCGAATATTAATCAGCTTAGTATCAACTTATTAATCAACTGTTGAACGCCTTAATTGTAGACTATTTAAGGCTCCAAGCTAAGCTTCTTCTGGTAGAGTACTGACGGGGTACTAACTACTCTACAACACATGTCAACAGAAAACGAACAAAAAACACCTATCACAAAATGAGAAATCAGTGCCAACACCAACATCAGAACCCCGTCTTCGAAAGTTCTGGCCTTGTGTCTGATGGAATATGACAGATGTCGTCCATTACGAACTCCTGGAACATAGAAGGACCATCACTGTAGCGGTTTATTGCAAGCAACTTGATCGAGTAAACGAAGCGTTATTTTGAAAAGTGTTATCCTCTATCCTGCTAATGCAATGACACACTCTACAAAGTCCAAGAAAAATATAATTGTTAAGATGCGAGGTTCTTCCACATTCTCCATACTCACCAGATTTTCCTTTGTTTCAATCGCGAATACATTTCATAAGCGGCCGAATATTCAGAAACAAAGAAAACAGACTTTCAGAATTTTCGAGGTATGATCCAGGTTTAATTAACAGTTAGGTTGCGTTTGTTAAAATGAAGGTGATTACATTGTTGATAAATAATATTTAAAAGAATTAAACATATTTTTTTTTATATACTTTCTGATAAAACCTAATAACTTTCCAAAAATCCTAATCTTTAAATAAATTTGACTTATAAAGTGTGTTCCAATAACTTGGACCGATTTTAATGTGAATTAAGTTTAAGCGTCTAATGATTTTTTCTTTTTCTTTCAGATATTGACGGACATTTGTGCGATATTATTTCACACATAATTGCCATGACGTAAATAACATGATCCAAAAGAGAAATAAAATAATTTTTCACCAATAACACTGATTTATTTACTGCTGACTTTGATCCATCTTAATGGAACACCATTATGTATAATCCGTCTTAATGAAACACCCTTTATTCGACTTTATATCCTTTCCAGTAAAACGTAATTACTTTCCGAACAGCCGAACAGCAAATTCTGTCTGCCTGTCCGTATCTGAAACCCGTCTAACTCAGGCCACACTTGCTCTACAAAAACATATACTTTTTTTTTTTTTTGAATCAGGATGATTCCAGGGTTGAAAATCTGCCTTTATTTCGTGCCTGAACATCTAACATTGGGATTTTTGTCAGTATGAGGAGGGAACCGTTAAAAATTCAAATTTTAAAATAACTGAAAAAAATTATTAATTTTAAGTTTTTAATTTATATTGAGTTTAAAATAACAAAAAAAAATCATTGTGAATTAAAAATGAACTTAAATTGCGTTTAAAATATCTCCAAAACTTTGTGAATTGTGGAAATCAATTTTATTTTTCACAATGGCAAGGAATCAGAATTAAAGTTAGAGGTTTGGTAACGTGAGGTTTTGAAGGTCCGCAGACTTCGTGATTTTAAGAACTCAATTTTCGGCCTGAATTGATCAAGAGCATCTGAAGTATAAGAATAGGTACAAGCAAGGAGAGAAGTGGATGATGCAAGGAAAAGAAGATACAGAACTGCAGAGGATGACAGTCAGATTTTATCAAGGAGAGAAATATTAGCTGCAAACCATAGAAAAGCAAGATTTTTGGAAACACCAGATGAAATTCATGCCAGACAGGTTAGTGATAATCACGATCACGTTAAAAGCTGTGGAGTTTATTTTTTAAGCCTGCTCAAGCTGGTTTTCAATACAACTGTGACAGTGGCTATTCAAATCACCCAATCACTGGATCAATGATCATTCAGTGTAAGCATTGCAATGCTCTCAGATTCAAGGATGAACCAGATGGGATGTGCTGTAACAAAGGAAAAAATACAGCTGGAAAATCTCCCAGTTCCTCCAGAGCTACTGCTATCACTTCTGGATGAGAACGCAGTTGAATCAAAACACTTCATCCAGTATATCAGAAGCTACAAAAACTGTTTTGCAATGACCTCATTTGGAGGCAAAAATGCTACCTTGCCAAGATGGAAAACAATTTGGAGAATTCAGAGCAGGGCTTAGATTAAAAGTCCGAACAGGGCACGGCTTTTACGCTAGTATTTAGATAAATTTAACTTAAATTAGTGTTTATATTCTTTCTAGTAACGTATAATTACTTTCTGAACAGGTTTGGTTTGTTTTCTTTTACGGTATATCAACCTCAATGGGTTATTTAATGCCGACAAGATGTTTTGGATAGGTTCGTATGAATAGAATATGTATTCTTTGGTTTAGTCTGGTTTCGTTTATTTTGTTTTACGGCATATCAACCTCAATGGGTTATTTAATGCCGACAAGATTTTTAGGATAGGTTCGTATGAATAGAATATGTATTCTTTGGTTTAGTTTGGTTTCGTTTATTTTGTTTTACGGCATATCAACCACAATGGGTTATTTAATGCCGACAAGCTTTTTATTGCTGCTAATATTTTTTTCAAAAATGTATTGCTGGTAAAATTTTTCTTTTCGAAAATGTATTTCTGGTAGTATATATATTTTCAGAAATGTATTGCTAGTAATAAGGTATTGGTTGTAATATTTTTTTATTCATTGCTGGTAATAATTTTTTACAAAAATATTTTGCTGATATTAAAACCTATTTTTACACGTTTTAACCCCAGTTTGGGGGTTAACTATTTGCCTATAGCTGGGGCACTAACAGGTGCTACCACCTCGAGTCAGGCTGAACCTAGGAACACCATCAATTAAGATGGTGGTTCTACACTCCTCAAAACTTCCTGATCAGAGGTCTTGCTACTGGACGTAGTTTATCGCCTTATCCAGGACCTATTTCCGAACAACTTAATGAATTAAAAATCCCAACGACTAAACTGAAAAATTGAGTCATTCATTCATTCATTCATTTTCTACAGCTTATCAACCCTTGGCAGATTATTTATTGACAGGAAATATATTTATCTCTATCTATAAAAGACAGGATGTGTATGTGTGTGTGTGTAACGAATGCACGGCCGCAATTTTCGACGGATTTACACCAAAATTTACATGCACATGCTACAAGTTAGCGGGAAGGCCAAGACCGACTTTGCATTTCCCAACTCCCATCGATAGTGGAAATAACCGATGTTTTCATACTTCTACGACAGTTTTCATGTAGTTTGCGGCCATTTTGTACTGGCCAGAGTGAGAGCCTATAACCGGCTGCCACGAATAGGCAGGAAGATTCTATTGGCCAGCGTGAGAGCCAACAGCTGACTGACACGAATGTTAACTAGCATGCTAGCATGTAAAAAAAATCGATAGTTTAATTTGTCACAAGTGGGAAAAATTTAAATCTGCATTGCACTTTACTCTAATTGGCTCATTCGCTTGCTTAAACTCAACGTTGATTCTAATTTCGCAGAACTGGGTTGGGTGTGAAAAAGTATTTGTTGTTAACATTCTTTTTTCATTCGGTTTTTCCACTTACGAGTTCTTTTTTAAAGCTGATCGTTTTGTGTTCATTTTGCTTAGTTCTTTTTTTCGTAACAGATTTAATGTTTACTACAGAGCTTAGAAAAAAATTGCAGTGTGAGATAGGCAAGAAGTAAGGCATGTAGCAACATCAGCACGGCAAAGGGCACTCCTTTAAAGGCAAGGAAGGGCAAAAATATTTCAAGTCAAGTGATAGCGGTTGCTATATGAATCGTACGATTTTTGAATCAAGCACAGGCAACGCCGGGTCATGCTTCTAGTAGATTATAAGATTTTTTTAAGATAAAAATGGTTTAGTAATACACATTTTATGAATTAGGTCATAGCTTGAGGGAGAGATGTATTCATGCCTTTCCCAAAGGTATTTGCGCGTAAGTGAATATAATGAACCCAACTGGACTTAGAACTCGGTTTTCCGATTAACAATTCCGAGCCATTATACATTACACCCCCGCACATCCAAGCTTACAGCACCTGGTATTCCCAAGCGGTTACCCATCTAGCTATTAAACAGGCTCGACGTTGCTTAACTTTGGTAATCATACAGGGACCAGTATTTCATTGTGATGTGGTCGTAAGCCTAGGCTGAAAAAGATTTGTTATAGTTTTTGATTTGTTTAATGCAAAGTGATAAAAACATTGAAGTTTTTGCTTTACAATAGCTTTTTATATTAATACAATTTTCTGACGTCAGCCTGATAAAACAATCTGAATGAAAATAATTTCGAATTCAAAACATATGATAAAATCATCGCAAATTGTTAAATTTATTTATGTTTTCTGGTTCAAATAAATCAGTTTTGCTTTCAAATGAAATAATAAGCTGACAGGTTTTCTGACATAACATGACGCTCCTTGATTTCTTATTAGGTCGAAAAAATATAGCCTCTTGTGCCTTTACTTCAAATCAAAACTTTTTTAAAGACAGTTCTATATGAAATTTTGCAAAGCAGCAAAATTTAAAACGTTATCATTAAAAATAGAGTAACAAAAGTTAATGAAACTCTATATTCTACAAATTTAAAAATACATTTTAATATTTTTATAAATCGATGTTTGCTTGCTCACTTCTTTTAGAGATTTCAGCATTTTGAATTTTAATTTTTTCACTTCAAATGACATGGAGAAAAACAGGGAAACTAATTATTTGAAAAATCAATAATATTTTGCGAAGTTTGGTTTCGAATTTAAAACAGGACCGGACAAAGACAATAACAAAAACCTTGGAATATTTTTTAATCATTTCACCCAAAGCAAGGCGATAAAAGCCATTATGAAGCAAGGGTTTATTGAGAGTGACTAAAAAGGACATTAAAAGATCGTGATTCAGGTAGACACAAGATGGCGATTGACGTTGCATTTAAAACATAGTTGACAGGAAAACAAGAAGTCGGAAAATATTTACACAAGCGAGAGGTGCGAGTAAAGAAACTATTATCATAGAACTTACGGATACATCTAGAAATTTCACCTAATTGCCTTACTGCCTTAAATTCTTGAAGTCGAGGAACAAGAGAGAAAAGCGCAATAGAATAATTACCATACAAAAATCACAGGAAAGTGTTATGTAACGGCGGTGAGAAAGTGATTGAATTCGAGATATCAGGTCCAGATCGATAACATTGCAGATTATTCTTTAGATTTTTTTTCAAGAGTCTCTAGATATATAGCAGAAGTACCAGACCACACGTTTGCGGCAATATACAATGCTGGGACGAAAGCTAGACATATGAACGTGAAAGATGTATTCGGGCGAAAAACTTATCTGTCACGACACAGTGGATCAACTTTCCTAGCAGTAGAACTAACAATTAATTCAACATAAACGCTCCAATTCACGCCAGTGAAAAACGCGAGACAGATTAACCGCAGCGAGTGGCTCTCATGGAGGTTAGCATCACCCATACAGACGGAAAACAATCAGAAATATCTCGGAGGTTTACATCTATTCTTTATAGAATACCCAAAAGCATTCGATAAAACAAGAATGAGAAACACTTTCAGGAGCGTTAGGAAAGATTGAGCTACACGGAAAAGATATTTAAATAATCGGTAGGCAGTACTGGGAACTAACAGTCTACATGTGTACAGAAAATGAGTTACATAAAAAAAAAAAACCCCAGAAACCAAAGAATGACAGAGATGTGTTTTCTCATCGGATCTATTTAATCTCTGCAGCGAGATGATTTTCAGAAACCTAGAAGACCTTTCTTTCTTTCATGTGCCATGTCCTTTCAGGATGTAGGCGATCATGGCTCTCCACCTCCTTCTATCCCTTGCAGCTCTCAACAAGTTCCTTCCCTCAGCTTCCTCCCCTAGACCATGTTCTGTCATCCACTTGCTTAACTCTCCTAGGAATGTCATGCCCTTGTTTATCTTTCCTTTCTTTCCTTTTATGTGCCATGTCCTTTCAGGATGTAGGTGATCATGGCTCTCCACCTCCTTCTATCCCTTGCAGCTCTCAACAAGTTCCTTCCCTCAGCTTCCTCCCCTAGACCATGTTCTGTCATCCACTTGCTTAACTCTCCTAGGAATGTCATGCCCTTGTTTATCTTTTCTTTTTTTTCCTTTTTATGTGCCATGTCCTTTTCAGGATGTAGGCGATCATGGCTCTCCACCTCCTTCTATCCTTTGCAGCTCTCAACAAGTTCCTTCCCTCTGCTTCCCTCCCCCAGACCATGTTCTGTCATCCACTTGCTTAACTCTCCCTAGGAATGTCATGCCCTTGTTTATCTTTTCCTTTCTTTCCTTTTATGTGCCATGTCCTTTCAGGATCAGGGATCGTAGGCCTCCTTCTATGGCTTTGCAGCTCTCAACAAGTTCCTTCCCTCATCCTTAGACCAGCTCTCCTAGGAATGTCATGCCCTTGTTTACAAGGATTCCTTCCACCTCCAGCTTCCTCCCAAGTTCCTTCCCTCAGACCATGTTCTGTCATCCACTTGCTTAACTCTCCTAGGAATGTCATGCCCTTGTTTATCTTTCCTTTCTTTCCTTTTATGTGCCATGTCCTTTCAGGACGTAGGCGATCATGGCTCTCCACCTCCTTCTATCCCTTGCAGCTCTCAACAAGTTCCTTCCCTCAGCTTCCTCCCCCCTAGACCATGTTCTGTCATCCACTTGCTTAACTCTCCTAGGAATGTCATGCCCTTGTTTATCTTTCCTTTCTTTCCTTTTTTGTGCCATGTCCTTTCAGGACGTAGGCGATCATGGCTCTCCACCTCCTTCTATCCCTTGCAGCTCTCAACAAGTTCCTTCCTCAGCTTCCTCCCTAGACCATGTTCTGTCATCCACTTGCTTAACTCTCCTAGGAATGTCATGCCCTTGTTTATCTTTCCTTTCTTTCCTTTTTATGTGCCATGTCCTTTCAGGACGTAGGCGATCATGGCTCTCCACCTCCTTCTATCCCTTGCAGCTCTCAACAAGTTCCTTCCCTCAGCTTCCTCCCCTAGACCATGTTCTGTCATCCACTTGCTTAACTCTCCTAGGAATGTCATGCCCTTGTTTATCTTTCCTTTCTTTCCTTTTATGTGCCATGTCCTTTCAGGACGTAGGCGATCATGGCTCTCCACCTCCTTCTATCCCTTGCAGCTCTCAACAAGTTCCTTCCCTCAGCTTCCTCCCCTAGACCATGTTCTGTCATCCACTTGCTTAACTCTCCTAGGAATGTCATGCCCTTGTTTATCTTTCCTTTCTTTCCTTTTATGTGCCATGTCCTTTCAGGACGTAGGCGATCATGGCTCTCCACCTCCTTCTATCCCTTGCAGCTCTCAACAAGTTCCTTCCCTCAGCTTCCTCCCCTAGACCATGTTCTGTCATCCACTTGCTTAACTCTCCTAGGAATGTCATGCCCTTGTTTATCTTTCCTTTCTTTCCTTTTATGTGCCATGTCCTTTCAGGACGTAGGCGATCATGGCTCTCCACCTCCTTCTATCCCTTGCAGCTCTCAACAAGTTCCTTCCCTCAGCTTCCTCCCCTAGACTATGTTCTGTCATCCACTTGCTTAACTCTCCTAGGAATGTCATGCCCTTGTTTATCTTTCCTTTCTTTCCTTTTATGTGCCATGTCCTTTCAGGATGTAGGTGATCATGGCTCTCCACCTCCTTCTATCCCTTGCAGCTCTCAATAAGTTCCTTCCCTCAGCTTCCTCCCCTAGACCATGTTCTGTCATCCACTTGCTTAACTCTCCTAGGAATGTCATGCCCTTGTTTATCTTTCCTTTCTTTCCTTTTATGTGCCATGTCCTTTCAGGATGTAGGTGATCATGGTTCTCCACCTCCTTCTGTCCCTTGCAGCTCTCAACAAGTTTTTTCCCTCAGCTTCCTCCCCTAGACCACGTTCTGTCATTTTCTTGCTAGAGACGTAGTAAGATTTATTATTGGTAGACGTAACCTTAGTAACATGAACTATGCAGACAACACACGGTTGTTGGTTAATTCAAACGAAAAACTGTAAGAGATGAAATATTGCTCATGAATGAATACATCTCTATCTTTTATTTATAGAAAGCTAATTTTCTCTTGAACTAAACATAGCAACATTTTATTATTTATAGAACTACATAACACAATCAAAACGGATATTGTCAGATATTATTTATCACCAAACTCTACAGCATTGAAAATTTGTTGGCAAAAATATGAATATGTCGTCGTCCAAAAATAAGTCACCCGCTACAAAATAGTTTACTTGATTCTATATATTTTAACCATTATCCAGACACGATAAGAAGGAATAGAGTACACTTCCAACGTTTGTATCATTTAATTTAAAAGAGGGATCAATAAATAGTAGGACAATATCATTTGTATCACTCTTATTGTCTGGATGCTGTTAGATGTCAACTCCTAGCCATGACACATTTCTAGAATTATATTTTCTATTTTTTTTCTTTTTCGATTAGCTTGAATTTAACGTAGGTCATATTTGATTGGTTGATCATGTTAAATATATATATATATATGTGTGTGTGTGTGTGTGTGTGTGTGTGTGTGTGTGTGTGTGTGTGTGTGTGTGTGTGTGAAAATATATAGAAAATAGGAAAAAACTAGTTAGGTAAATAATCCAATGTTCTTTAGTATTTTTGTTATTATTTTTTTAAAAATAGTGCTCGATACAAAAGTAGAGCCTAAATATAATTATTTATTTAAAAATATGATTCCATCACTACATAAGAGTTCTCATGTTTCAAAACTAGAGCCGAAACATGAGAACTCTTATGTAGCGATGGAATCATATTTTAAATAAATAATTATCCATCTATCTATCTATCTATCTATCTATATATATATATATATATATATATATATATATATATATATATAAAAGGGAGATAATCTTGCTTTTGAAACCAAACTAATAGTTTACAATCGCCTGATGAGACGCATTGTTATCGTTGAAACACTACTGCAATTTTGTAACGATTCTTACATTTTTTTGTTCTAATAACCTAAAATAAATAATATTTTAATCATTACTGATAATTTTTTTAATATGACAAATATAAATAGATTACGCACACTACACTAAAAACAGGTCCTAGAAAATCAGCCTTCATATGCTATCTCAGTAATGGCTCCAT